GCGAATATTTAATCTGTAAATCGATATTATGTGTTTTTATTTAAATTCTATCGGTTCACATCTGTATAGTTGGATGAAAAATATAATACCCTAATACTTCGCAGTTTTTCTGCTTTGAATTCGACGATTTTAATAATAAAATAAAAAATTTAAATTTAAATAAATTTAAAACCATATATTTTTTATTAAATATTAAACTGAAATTTAAATTTGTTAAAAACACGATAAATCAATTTACAATTCTTTGTGTTTATATACATCTCTCTCTCTCTCTCTCTTATCTTCTCTCTCTCTCTCTCTTTCATATATATATATATATATAACATACAATTTCCCTCCCCCTCCTAACAAATTCAACTATGGTTCCGCTCCTGGCTATATTGCTAATTTCCAATACGCGCAAAAAATTTAAAGCATCTATGCCGCCTCCACCTGCGTGAGAGTACATATGTTATCTAGACATAACCAGCAACTCGAGAAAAGTACAAAAGCTTTGTATTACTTATTTCAAATGAACGAAGAAATTGATATAAAACTTCGCAGCCTCCAGCCTTGCCAGCTGTATCTACAAAATCACATTACGAATTTCGTATGCGCAGAGAAATGGAGAGAAAACTAAGCAGCCTATGACCACGTGGAGTGGGCGGTGGTTTCATTAGTTACCCAGGATCTCGAGAAAAATATAAAAATAATGAAACAGTTTCGATTTTGGCTGCAAATTTGCGAAGACTGTTTTTGTTAAATTGCAGCATTGTATTATTGCAGCGTTATGTGAGAATAATTTGGGAGTTTGTTACGACAATTTGTTCCTTGTGCTGTTTTTTGTGTGATTGATGAACTGATTTGTAGTAGACAACCCGAAAAAATGAGTTTTTTTCATGGGTCAACCATCAAAAATGTGTTTACAAAGGCGCAGACCGATATAACAGAGCGCCCTTAATCAACATCACATGTATTCAAGATAGGTTAAACGTAACTTTTAGGTAAAAGGTCGGCGTAAGTGGACGAAACGAAAGTGGTGACGTCATTGCAGTGAACTTCAATCAAACTATATTCAAAAAAATATTTATTGATTACGATACATTTCATTTTATCCTTGGTCAGACTACAGGTCTATTGTTGTAACAATGCTCTTCCTTTTCTTGAGCTAATTAAAATATTCAGGAAGCAAAAATAGAATTGTTTCATCCATCATTCTCAAAATAATTTTAAAAAATACTCAGTAGTATTGATTTCTTCTTAGACACAATGAGATATGCGTGAATGCAGCATGTAGAGACAGTACAAATATTTCAGCACCGACGAGAATCATTCAGGGAGTCTTCTGGGAAACCGGAGAGGTGGCAACCATACATGAATACTCTTGCGTGCCTTCTTTCTAATCTCATTTGAATGCGGCAGCGTCAAACACCTTACGCAAGAGGATAAAATCTATAAAGAAGAGAGAACAAATAATAATAATAATAATAATAACAATAATAACAATAATAACAATAATAACAATAATAACAATAATAACAATAATAACAATAATAACAATAATAACAATAATAACGGTAATAAGCCGATCCGGTGGCCGAGATCGCTAAGGCAATAGTGCCGTAGCGATCTCCGACCGAAAGATCGCGTGTTCGAATCCCGCCTCGGGCATGATTGTTGTGTGTGTCTCTTAATGTTTGTGTGTGTGTCTATTTCATCATTCAACATCACAATTTCATCCCGTTCCCCAGTGCTAACGACCCTGGGGTGTAAAAATGGAATCAGCGTACAAATGCTTATTCCCCCAATAGAAAGTAACGTGCACCTACCTCGCTATTCAAAGCTGAGACCCGGTGGGATGCACTTATCGCGTGGCCCCATGATGGGCGATTTCGCGTCAAAAACAAAAACAAAAAATATCCTTTACCTAAAATAGGCAGGCAAAAAAGAATTCATTTTTACTATAATATGCATTTATTTTTGCTAAAGTAGGGGTGCGAAAAGAGATTTAAACAAATGAAACATCATCATTTAAAGGAAATTATTTTAAAATATTAATAATTGAAACCATTCACATTTTCTTTCTAACTCTAAAATTTACATTAGCACTTATGTGGAAGGAAATGATCATTACTTTGTCATTTTGTTTGCACATGACGACCCGGTATGAACTTACACATGACCACCCACTTCAACTTCCTTTACTGCGAACGACGTGTCGCGACACCGCAGAAGAGAAATATTTCCTCGGTTGAGACGCCGAACTTTAAGGATATCTTAGGACTGCAGAAATTGATATAAATTAATAATTCCTTTATTTTCTAGTAATTAGAAGTATTTGGAATCCATACTTATCAATAAATAATAGTTTTTAATTAAATATTTTTTTTGCGACGCGGGCGTTTCGGCCCTGTTCAGACAACCGTGCGTCGTTGGTGTTTGAGTCTTCAAATACCAAAAGTGAAATCGGAAAGACAGTTTTCGTTCTTCAAACTTCTAGCACCAAGAAGGGTACACCATGTACATAGAACTTTGTCCTCAAAAGGAATCGTAGGCCATACTCAAATTAAGGAAGGGATTCGTCGTGAGTGAATAAAGCCAGATATCAATATATAAAATCAAAAATCTTTACTGGTATCATCTTCCTGTCTCATTTAAATTGTTAACACTGTCTGACCATGGAGCCTATACTTCCACAGAAAGACAAAACATGACTATGCTTTTGTGTTGTCCAGGCTTGCAGGTTTCTAGCTTGATCGAAATCAATGCCAAGAGAAAACAAGGAAAATAATGAAGGAAAAGGCAAAAATAGGCATCATAAGCTACAATAGAATAGAATTGACAAACAAAAGGACGAAACTAAAATGTATGGATTTTTTTTTAATTGCAAAAGTTCACAATTTTTTCGGGGTCTTTCTAGAACTAAAATATTAAAGATAGAGATTTTTTCGTTAATGGAATCTCTTCCTTAAATAATGATTTTGAAATAAGGTCATGTTCATTTTTTTGAATAATTAAGTATTTTTCGCATAATTTTGCGTGAAAATAGAGCGAGAATGTATGGACTGATGTAGTACAGTATGATTTACAAATGAAGTGTTTATTTTTAAAAGGGTTTAAGTTCCTAAATCACTGTATGAGCTCCAATACATTTTAGAAAATTCTATGGGCCTCCAAAAGTCATATTTGATGCAATAAATCCCTGATTGATAAATTTCTGACTGATAAATTGATGAAGGACTATCTTTTAATAGCCCTTCATGAATCACTAGAGAGCTTGTTCATTTGTTTGTTCTTGTTTTCTACAAATGTAGTACCTGGTCTTTAGATCCTCCTGAAACAAAACTATTGAGATGGACACATTTTTCTTCAACACTAGGAACTTTCCAAACATTGCAACAATAATGTTTCTTCTCTGTTGACTATTTCTTTACTAAAAAAAGCAAAATTTTGTATGTCACTTCTTTTCATTTTACATGACAGCAATTTTAATATTCAAGATATCACAAAAAATTACTCTGTAGTTTTCTACTTAAAACAATTTGCCATTCTTGTTTACTTTAAACTACTACATTAGAAATAAGACATTTTGCTACCTAGTCATTAACAAACAAGAAGCTGGAATGTTAAACCTCACTTTTTTAAGAAAAGTGACTTATAAACTTTTGCCATTTGTAGATTTATTAGTCCAGGTGCTGAAAAACATCTTTTGAAAGGAATACTTGATATAATGTGTATATCATACTTGAACAGCCTTGTTAAACAACACGATATTAATTTATTGCACTCAAATTCATTGATCTGTCTTGGAAAAACTGCAGTATTTTAAGAGTTGATTTGCTTCCGTCTGTAATTTTATAATTTTCACCATTTATTAAATCTTCAAAACCAAATTATGTATCATTTGAAATAGATTCATCATCAGCACACCTGAATTGTGTAGAATTCATTCTCACTGCAATACAGTTGCTTAAGAGTATATGTGTGAAATTAAGAGAAGTTGAATGGATATTACTTTTGCACTGAAAGGCGTTTCGTGAATGAAGTTATATTTATATATTATATTGAATATTAATTATTAATATATTATATTGAATTATGTTTAATATGTTATACTGAATGTGTTTTAATTAAAATTTTATTTACAAAGAACACAAAACCATTTTTATTCGCTTAAATATTTCTTGCAATAATGATAAGTCAGACATGTAATGTTGAACACATCAGATGTGAATTGGTTAAGATAGTTGAATTGGTTGATGGTTTTATTAATATTTTTCTTTATTGAGAAAAAACATTCTCAGCACTCGAGTATGACAATTTAAAATAAAAATAGCATTTCAAATGTATTTTGTTCAACAAAAACAAGAATTGTTTTTTATTTTTATTAATAAGTTTTATAGAAAACAATGAATACAGAAATTTAGATATTATATTGATATGATCTGTTAACGTGAGGATACGAACATTAATGATTATTTTATTAGAAGTGTTCATTAAATTAAATTCGCTGTGAAATAAAATTTGAAAACATACACAAATGGATATTACGTTCCTAAATAAAATATGTATACTAAATATAAAAATATAGCACATTAACATGTTTACATAGTTTTCTACGTATTATTAAATGTAAAGGAATAAATTTCACTACAAAGTTATGATTTATTTTGAAATACATCAAGGTTCCAACAAGGCATCCGTCAGTTTCAACATATATGTGAGATTCGTTGGTTTATTTAAGGCTTCTGACATTTGACGATTTCAACTTTCTAAGAAATTTTAAGTTGTCGCAACAAATGTATATTTAGTAGTAAGGTATTGTTTATGAGTATGTCACTATTAACGATTTCTGTACTATAATGTGATTCATATTGCCGCTTGAGGGAAGAATACGATCAGGAAGTTTACTACATTGACGCTCTCTGTTGATACAATATTGAACGAATATGGTTCACAATATGACAGGTAGGTAGCGTTCATTGGGGCATCGACCCAAGTCAGGAGAGCCTACCTTCATTCGTTCCTAGTTCTTGGTAGAGATCGCAGTCGCAGTTGTTCGTAGTTGGTTGGGGGTAGTGAGCCTGTGACAGTGCGTAGGATTCATGAATGTCAGATAGGTAGTGGCTAGCAGCGAGTTGTCTTGCTGTTGTGCCAGTAGTGCGTGCGCTGCCGGGACCAGGCGCGGATGGGGAATCTCGGTTCGTAACCATGGCAACTAACAAACAGACAACTCAGTTTGGGAAGAGGAAGTGCTACCGATTTTTCGCTTCCAGATTCATCGTGAATTTTGATGATCTGTTTTACAGGTAAGGTACATTTTTAAAAAAATTGTTACTTTTGTTGTGTACAATAAATACTTGAAACTTGCATCGTGAGTGCTCATGACAGGCTACGCGAACCATGACTGCAATGCCACACAAAGGGAAACATTTCTTTTGAAATGTGAAGGCCTTGCCTACTGATCTTCGGACTACAAAAAAACACCCTAATTTATATCACAAGTCCACGGGATTTGTAAATTAATGCAATAACTGTGCAAGGTAGATCATGCTTGCCCAATCTATATTGCTGTTTTATTCACTTAACCCCGTGATCTGCTTGCGAGATGGGTGTAGAATAGGAGTGAATTTCCTTGTGACATAAGTTTTAAAGATGAATAAACGTCACTGAAATGGTGTGAGAAGTAGTGTGTACTTTCTATTTTGCGAGTTTAAGGGAAGTATTTGTCATGCATTAGAATTTGTCTGTTGTTTTCATGGTTAAATCGTAAGCACGTGGGGTTTTGGAAATAGTATGAGAGTATAGGGGTTGTGTGGAATCTACCTTTTTTTGAGGGAGGGTGGGAGGAATTTATCACGGCACAACAAAAAGTTCTTATTGTGTACCGTATCAGCCGTCTGTAGTAAACTGGCAAATAGATCTCGATGACAATATCCACAATTCTTAAATAAAAAAAATTGACACTTCTCTGTGGACAACTTTTCAAATTTATTATAGTGGATGTATTAAACCATTCAGGTACTTACTTTCTCCTTGGTCTGATGCCTTTAAGATTTTCAGTTCCAAGGTTTGCCCTAGCTTATTATTCTTTCCTTTGTTTCTCATCGCACTTTGCTTCTTTTGTCTTCTATCTTCTGTTATCGTCTAGTGGTGAGAGTTGTCGAATTTGACCCTGACGCATATGTTCATACAACAGTCTTGTCTTGGCGTTATTATGAAGTGAGACAGCAAAACACCCGCGAATGGCAGGGTGAGTCGTCTTGTTTTTGGGATTGCTGACTGACTTGTAGAAGGTTTGTCCTTCCCTTTTAACCTCGTTTTACACGTCTACTCTTCCCCAATATTTCAGCTGTCTTTATCACGTGCTGTGCTGAAAATCCTCGCTTTTGTTGCCAACTGAGCAGCGATTTTTTTTAAATCACCAGCAATTACAAAAAAGTTTACCATCAAAAGTAATGTCAACATTTCCATAATGTTAACTTTTGTAGAAAGTCACTTTGCCAAACTTTCGGAACATAGAACCAAATCTAAATGTTATTCAGAACGGTAGGGTTCACCTTTTTCTTTTTTTCTTTACTTTCCTTTTTCTTTTTTTCTTTTCTTTCCTTTTTCTTTTTTTCTTTTCTTTCCTTTTTCTTTTTTTCTTTTTTTTCTTTTCTTTCCTTTTTCTTTTTTCTTTTTTTTCTTTCCTTTTTTTTCTTTTTCTTTTTTCTTTTTTTCTTTCCTTTTTTTTCTTTTTCTTTTTTCTTTTTTTCTTTTTCTTTCTTTTTTCTTTCCTTTTTTCTTTTTTTCTTTTTTTCTTTTTTTCTTTTTTTCTTTTTTCCTTTCTTTTTTCTTTTTTTCTTTTTTCCTTTTTTCTTTTTTCTTTTTTCTTTTTTTCTTTTTTCTTTTTTCTTTTTTCTTTTTTTCTTTTTTCTTTTTCCTTTTTTTCTTTCTTTTTCCTTTTTTTCTTTCTTTTTCCTTTCTTTCTTTCTTTCTTTTTCCTTTCTTTCTTTTTTTTCTTTCCTTTTTTCTTTTTTTTCTTCCTTTCTTTCGTCCACTCCTCTGTCCGTCTGTTTTTTCTCCTGCTTATTTTGGTTGTTTCCTAAATGTTTTTCAGATTTTTTAATGTATTCCTGTATTTATTTATGCATTTATTTGTGTATTTTACTTCCAAAAAGGTTAAAATATACTTGCGAGGTATGGGGAAAGAAATAAAGTGAACAAAACAAAAAAACTCTCTTCTGGTGCACGAAATTCGTAAGGCGAGAAAGGAAAAGGTATATATTTTACTCAAACATGAATTCTGCTTAGAAACGTGCATTTTAGGATAAATCTACATTTTTGGTTGAACAATTGTCAATATTTTTATGTTTTTTTTGTCGATTTTTAACTATTAACTAGTGAAGGACCATGATTTCCAAAGGCTCTTCTGCTATTCGGCTTTTCGACGTGTATGCTCATTATTAAATAGATAAAATAACTGTATACATTTTCTTCGCGGAGAAACCAAAACTAGAAATTAATGATGTTGCAAACGACTTATTCCTTTCCCATTATTGGTTTTAATTTTATTATAATTTATTTTAGTACAATATTTTAATTTTATTTTAGTACTTTAGGGATTATCGGTACCTCTATTGCACTACAAAATGTGGGCTGTTCCCAATACAACAATGTCTTGCGATTGTCTTTTGAATTTCCTTCTTGCCCTTTTGGTCAAGTTTTGATCGCACGACACAGCAACATCCACAAGTAGACTTTTTAAAATTCCAAATCGCGAATAACAATATCCGCATTACCAGGTTTGTTTAGCCGAGGTCGCTAAGACTGAAGGGTCTTAGATGTCTTCTCGAAGGGTCGCGAGTTCGAATCCCGCCTCGGACATGGATATTGGTGTGTTCGTGTCGTCTTCTTGCTATAGTTTCCCCTACAGTTAAAACAAATCAATCACCAGTCAATTTGAATTTGTTGGTTGTAAAACATTGTTCACATCCCAACAGACGTCACCGGTTTTTGGTGAATGTTCGTACGACTTGAAACATGTGTTTGGAACTTCGAGGGCGATACAGATCTTCCAGTGGGATAAATACCAGTGAGGTATTGAGGGGGAGGGGGAATGGAGATGCGGCATTTATCTTGGGAAATTTTGAGACCCTCTATATCACGTTGCCTAAACGCCTGATCTTGAACAACTGCTTCTGCCAAAAAAATGATTGATCTGTGCCTTCTCTATGATTTTTAGATAATGTCCTTAGTGATTTGCCACTCCGAAGTTTTGAATTTTTTAAATATTATTGTTATTATTATTATTGTCATGTTTGTTATTATTATTTATTTTTATTGTTATTTATTATTATTATTTATTTTTATTATTTTTATTATTATTATTATTATTATTATTATTATTATTATTATTATTATTATTATAATATGTAAAGAAAGAAAAAATCGGCCGTGCTGGAATTTGAACGTTCGTGGAGCAAAGTTGTTACTCTGAGCTGAGGATAATTGTGTTATACGCTGTGATTCCAACATACCTAAGATGTGAATAAAAACTAGGTTAAAACTAGTAATATTTTGAAAAGGTTTACGTAATATAATTTAAAGATGAATATTGATGAATAGATAGCATTAAGAGGGGAAAATGTTGCTTCACTATTATAGCTGTACAACATTCCAAGAAACTTCTGTAATTTGAACTTTTGTCGTTTTAGAAATCTGAAAGCTTTTAATAAAAATCGGACCTATGCTATGCAGTTAAGCAGTTTTTGTTAGAGTAAAACAAAATATTTTAAAAATGGAACAGTTTTAAATAAAATATTGTTTACGTATTATTTGGACGATTTTATTCAGTGTCGCAAAAATTACTCATTTTGTAAAAAAACTGTACCTCGCATTAATTAAAGAACTATGTTTAATGAACAAATGCTATTAGGAAAAAAATCTAAATTCAAAATAGGTGTAAGAGGGGAGCGGTGAAAAATATTAGTGGGGTGACAGTGAAGGTGCGGTAGCAATTATAGCACTTGGTGGTAGGAAGTATAGGAAAAAAGGATCCATTTTTTCCATATCATGGCCCCACAATGTGTTTTTGTGACGAAAACTCGCCACCTGTTGCAGATTTACTACACATTTACTATGTATGACGAGAAAGTGGATCATTATTTGGGACACCGAAACCTTTTTTTGTCAAAATATCTACACTTTTCCCCGCAGCATTACACAATATTGTCACTTCGCTTGTACGAGAAAGACAAAAGTAGAATATGGAAATGTTTCTTTGTCCATGCTTGGTATCAGTTACATTGTAAGAAATAGGTGTCTTGCCATTCGTGAAACAAGTAGCATTATTAGGAAGGGTTTACGAAGCAGCTTTACTGCGAATAAGTGACGGGTTTAGCAGTTTTTTAGGTAATCCACGTAATGGGTACTCATTGATGTGACTGACTTTTTACTTAATCGTTTTGAAGGAACTGGAGCGTAATTGAAGTGGTATTCACTAACAGCTTTCAGGACTTACAGAAAATCGCTATTTAGAGTTCATAACTGAGAATTACATAACTTCATTTTCTTCACGTAAAGTGCAGGGTTTAATTTTAAGATTTATGATTACGGTCCAGAAAAATATGTAGTATGAAACTTCATAGTATGTACATCAGTATGTAACAAAAACAGTGAGAATATGTAGTAAATATGTAAAATCGTATATAATATTAAAATGCACTAATTATACATCACATTTATCAAAAATTTCATTAAAAAAATTTAAAAATAACGTTTTTAGTCATTTGGAGAGCACAAGTTGATGCACATTTTGCACCAAAGAATTTTCCCATCTATAATAAAAGCTTCGTCTATTGCTATCCAGGACGGTAGTGTAGACGCAATAGAAGCCCTCACAAACTGGCGATATCTACGATCAGCAAACAATCACAGCAGCGTGCAGCATTGTAATCGCCGTGTCGTCACACGTCGGTGGCTGTCAAAGTTTTTCGGAAATTAATGTTCACGAAACCCGGCGTCAGTGATACTTTTCACACCTAAAGGTGAAAATATGTCGGTCGTCGGTGCGCACTTGCCGCCACTGAGATAACTGAAGCAGGCGCGTCGGACTGTGAGAACATTCGACCGCGTCGTAATGAAGCTCATCTCGATTTGACAAATCGATAAAATTAAAAAAAAAAATGAAAATAGCAAAATATGTAATATACTACTAAGTATGTAACGAAAAAATATAATTTTTGGACGGCGACAATTCGCCAAGTAGAAAGACAAAAAATATGTAATTACATAAAAATCCGGTCTGATTGATGATACAGTTAAT